AAGATTCCAGGTTCGACTTGTGGCTGGCTGGCTCGCTCTGCCTCTTTTGCTTCGCTGTCAGCCCATAGCCATTTTATTATTATTAGCCCATAGTTTTTGTTATTATTATTATTGGATTAGTTGAATAATATTTTAAATTGACAGTCCAACAATAGGCTGCTTTGTCAGTGGGATAACGGTTACCATACAATACCATGCATCTTTTCAGATGCATTGCATGGGTACTGTCACAAGGACCTTGCTTTGCGACCAGTTTATAGTGTCTATTATGCCAGCACAGGAATGGGAGGAAACTGAACCCCCTGGGCGAGGCAAATGAGAGCTCCCTCCGATGAGCCAGATGAAATTGAATTCAGTAAACTATCCCTTCGGATCATTCCCATATTCTTAAAGGGGGGCGGTCACACACTAAAAGCCAAGGGCCTACTTGAGGCTTGAGGAAGTTCCCATATGGTCTAGCGGTCAGGATTCCTGGTTTTCACCCAGGCGGCCCGGGTTCGACTCCCGGTATGGGAAGTTCGTGTTGTCTTTGCTTCACTTATGGAAACAGCCAGGACGTCTCTCTGTGCCACTAGCACTTTTAGCCGGCAGGCGGAGCTTACGAAACCTGATAGGTTTAGGTTCTGTCCCCAAACGATGTGCCTTCGATAGCTCAGCTGGTAGAGCGGAGGACTGTAGGTGGCAAATTGGCAATCCTTAGGTCGCTGGTTCGACTCTGGCTCGAAGGAGGTCTTTTTCACAAGCAAACATTTCATTGGCCATGCTTCTCGACGAGGCCGTCAGCGCTTGAGTTGGTATTCCAGCGTTTTGCAATCGCGACCGCCGCTGGAGGGCAAAAGCTCATTCCCTGACCGGGAATCGAACCCGGGCCGCGGCGGTGAGAGCGCCGAATCCTAACCACTAGTCCACCAGGGAGGGTCTGCTGTCTCTTTCCCGTCAAGCCTGGCTGTGTGCCTCTACCAGATTTTGCAGCAACTGCTCAAGCAAGACCACTAAGGCTTGAATTTTCCTCCAGGAGAGGAGACGTCTCTGACCCTGGATCACAGTTATTCCACTGAGAAACTGTCACTGGCTCTGTAGGAATATCCTAACAACACCACAACTTGCCATGAAAACAAAGCAACCGAGATCACCAACATGTGACGCCTCCAACTTGAAGCTTTTTATAGCAGGCTCCTCATCAGACCCCTTCCTGACGTTGGCTCCAGGCCTGTTATTGGCATGAGAAAAAGTAGATGTCATGACAGGCCTCTGCCCAGCCGGACACCAACAAGTCGCGTGCATAGTTTTTGTTATTATTATTATTGGATTAGTTGAATAATATTTTAAATTGACAGTCCAACAATAGGCTGCTTTGTCAGTGGGATAACGGTTACCATACAATACCATGCGTCTTTTCAGATGCATTGCATGGGTACTGTCACAAGGACCTTGCTTTGCGACCAGTTTATAGTGTCTATTATGCCAGCACAGGAATGGGAGGAAACTGAACCCCCTGGGCGAGGCAAATGCACTCAAGGGTGCCTGACTGGTGGGCCAGTGGCGCAATGGATAACGCGTCTGACTACGAATCAGAAGATTCCAGGTTCGACTCCTGGCTGGCTCGCTCTTCCTCTTTTGCTTCGCTGTCAGCCCATAGCCATTTTATTATTATTAGCCCATAGTTTTTGTTATTATTATTATTGGATTAGTTGAATAATGTTTTAAATTGACAGTCCAACAATAGGCTGCTTTGTCAGTGGGATAACGGTTACCATACAATACCATGCGTCTTTTCAGATGCATTGCATGGGTACTGTCACAAGGACCTTGCTTTGCGACAAGTTTATAGTGTCTATTATGCCAGCACAGGAATGGGAGGAAACTGAACCCCCTGGGCGAGCCAAATGCACTCAAGGGTGCCTGACTGGTGGGCCAGTGCCGCAATGGATAACGCGTCTGACTACGAATCAGAAGATTCCAGGTTCGACTCCTGGCTGGCTCGCTCTGCCTCTTTTGCTTCGCTGTCAGCCCATAGCCATTTTATTATTATTAGCCCATAGTTTTTGTTATTATTATTATTGGATTAGTTGAATAATATTTTAAATTGACAGTCCAACAATAGGCTGCTTTGTCAGTGGGATAACGGTTACCATACAATACCATGCATCTTTTCAGATGCATTGCATGGGTACTGTCACAAGGACCTTGCTTTGCGACCAGTTTATAGTGTCTATTATGCCAGCACAGGAATGGGAGGAAACTGAACCCCCTGGGCGAGGCAAATGCACTCAAGGGTGCCTGACTGGTGGGCCAGTGGCGCAATGGATAATGCGTCTGACTACGAATCAGAAGATTCCAGGTTTGGCTCGCTCTGCCTCTTTTGCTTCGCTGTCAGCCCATAGCCATTTTATTATTATTAGCCCATAGTTTTTGTTATTATTATTATTGGATTAGTTGAATAATATTTTAAATTGACAGTCCAACAATAGGCTGCTTTGTCAGTGGGATAACGGTTACCATACAATACCATGCATCTTTTCAGATGCATTGCATGGGTACTGTCACAAGGACCTTGCTTTGCGACCAGTTTATAGTGTCTATTATGCCAGCACAGGAATGGGAGGAAACTAAACCCCCTGGGCATGGCAAATGAGAGCTCCCTCCGATGAGCCAGATGAAATTGAATTCAGTAAACTATCCCTTCGGATCATTCCCATATTCTTAAAGGGGGGCGGTCACACACTAAAAGCCAAGGGCCTACTTGAGGCTTGAGGAAGTTCCCATATGGTCTAGCGGTCAGGATTCCTGGTTTTCACCCAGGCGGCCCGGGTTCGACTCCCGGTATGGAAAGTTCGTGTTGTCTTTGCTTCACTTATGGAAACAGCCAGGACGTCTCTCTGTGCCACTAGCACTTTTAGCCGGCAGGCGGAGCTTACGAAACCTGATAGGTTTAGGTTCTGTCCCCAAACGATGTGCCTTCGATAGCTCAGCTGGTAGAGCGGAGGACTGTAGGTGGCAAATTGGCAATCCTTAGGTCGCTGGTTCGACTCTGGCTCGAAGGTCTGCTGACTCTTTCCCGTCAAGCCGGCCTGTGTGCCTCTACCAGATTTTGCAGCAACTGCTCAAGCAAGACCACTAAGGCTTGAATTTTCCTCCAGGAGAGGAGACGTCTCTGACCCTGGATCACAGTTATTCCACTGAGAAACTGTCAGTGGATCTGGCTGCTGCTGTTGGACTGTATCCTAACAACACCACAACTTGCCATGACAACAAAACAACCGAGATCACCAACATGTGACACCTCCAACTTGAAGCTTTTTATAGCAGGCTCCTCATCAGACCCCTTCCTGACGTTGGCTCCAGGCCTGTTATTGGCATGAGAAAAAGTAGATGTCATGACAGGCCTCTGCCCAGCCGGACACCAACAAGTCGCGTGCATAGTTTTTGTTATTATTATTATTGGATTAGTTGAATAATATTTTAAATTGACAGTCCAACAATAGGCTGCTTTGTCAGTGGGATAACGGTTACCATACAATACCATGCGTCTTTTCAGATGCATTGCATGGGTACTGTCACAAGGACCTTGCTTTAAGACAAGTTTATAGTGTCTATTATGCCAGCACAGGAATGGGAGGAAACTGAACCCCCTGGGCGAGAAAAATGCACTCAAGGCTGCCTGACTGGTGGGCCAGTGGCGCTTCATGCCGCCTGTAAATCGTGGTTATTCTTGGTTATGACAGCCAATCACGTTCCCTGCTGCAACCAAGATTCGTACTATTCTTGGTTATGACAGCCAATCACGTTCCCTGCTGCAACCAAGATTCGTACGCTTATGGCCAACCGCGGCTCTCATCGCTACCATGATTCAGCCTAGTAACTAACCAAGAATTGACCAATAAACGTCAAGAGTCACCTCCCCCCCAGAGACTTGCGAATTGGGACCGGAGAAGAGGATAACATTCATTGATTAACTTCGGATCAAAATTCGCAAAGTAAGTCAGTCTTTTGTCAATAAAAGTGAAGTGCCAAATATATAGTTGTTTTATATGAATAACATGTGTCTCAGACTAGCTAATAATTCAAGTAATTAATACAAAATATAATTAAAAAATGTGTTTATAGATAAAGCGACCAAGCAGAACAAAGCATAACATTACAGTTTACTACAGCTTTACCAGTTGCAACATTAAAATGATTGTTACACACTAAGGCATCACTAATTATAATTCAATTACTGTAATATAGTGTACATTATGCTTCTACTTTTAGTACTTTTACTATATTTTTATGCTAAACTAACTTTTTTTTAGCTAACGTTAAGTAGGCTAACATTTTGAATGCATTACATTTAACTGTTACTTGTAATAGAGCAAAGGAAATTTAAAAGAGGGGAAAGTAGTGGTATAACAATGGTATAATAATGGTATAATAATTATTGAAAAAATGACATCTTACTCTGGGATCATTCTGAGATTCTGATATGTAAATCAACATTTTAAGCCTGTTAGAAAAATATAGACACACAAAGCATAATATATAATCAACATTACAAGGTAGAAAAATATAGACACACAAAGCATAATATATAATCAACATTACAAGGTAGAAAAATATAGACACACAAAGCATAATATATAATCAACATTACAAGGTAGAAAAATATAGACACACAAAGCATAATATATAATCAACATTACAAGGTAGAAAAATATAGACACACAAAGCATAATATATAATCAACATTACAAGGTAGAAAAATATAGACACACAAAGCATAATATATAATCAACATTACAAGGTAGAAAAATATAGACACACAAAGCATAATATATAATCAACATTACAAGGTAGAAAAATAGACACACAAAGCATAATATATAATCAACATTACAAGGTGATCATGAGTAAATATAGTAATGTAATATGCACGGCTGTATTAACTAATGTGTTACCAAATGTGTTTGTCTGTTTCTTTCTCTAAAGTCTTTATATCTTCAAACATTTTTATTCATTAGATGGAACCTCGCTTCAGGAGACGAGCTGATGGCAGCCTGAATCTGACTGATACAATGGAAGCGGCAAAGGTGAAGGAGGCCAACAAAGGAAAGCCGTACACAAGACCCCTGTCCCCTGACATAGTGCTGGACAAGGCCAAGAAAAGCTTAAATCAGCACCACGGAGATCTAGCTAACAGAAAGCACCTGCTGGGTTTCTTTGAAATCCAGTTTGGTGTATTTCGAGGGCAAACATTCAAGTGGGTGGCTGAAAATGCCCTGGGGTATGCAGCTTACTTGGTGGCAGCTATGAAGAGGGACCCCACAGGAGGCAGCAAAGACTCCCAAGAACATGCCCACAACAAAGAGAGTTTCAGGGAGTATTTTGAGCTCTTTCCTTCTGGCAGAATTGCCATTGCCATGAAGGAAGAGCAATATGCTGGGAAAGCTCTCCAGCACGCTGCCACCACCCAGCACGCTACCTCCACCCAGCACGCTACCACCACCCAGCACGCTACCACCACCCAGCACGCTACCTCCACCCAGCACGCTACCACCACCCAGCACGCTACCACCACCCAGCACGCTGCCACCACCCAGCACGCTACCACCACCCAACACGCTGCCTCCACCCAGCATGCTACCATCACCACCCAGCACGCTACCATCACCTCCCAGCACGCTACCACCACCCAGCACGCTGCCTCCACCCAGCACGCTACAACCACCACCCAGCACGCTGCCTCCACCCATACTTCCACCGCCTCTCTCCGCTCCCTCTTGTTTAGGAAGTTGCCTAACCAGAAAAGCCTGACCAAGACCATTGAAAGGCTGGTTTCCCCCGTCAAATCCACACCTTGTAAGCAAACATTTATTTGTATAACACTTTTTTGGTGTGTTTAGTATTTATTGCTTTGTAGGATTTTAGGATTTATTGTTCTGTAGTCATGTTTATCTGTTCTGTGTTTTGTTTTGTAGCTTTGGCCCAGGCACGTACGCGGCCCTCAGCCACCCTCACTCGCCCGACTGTGTCCATTGAGGCAGGCACAGGGACCTCAGCAATCCTCAATAACCCGACTGTGTCCATTGAGGCAGCCACAGGGACCTCAGCTATCCTCACTCGCCCGACTGTGTCCATTGAGATAGATGACAGCACACTGCTGGCAGAGGCAACTAAGTTTGAGATGGCACATCTGGCATGTACGTTTATACTTATTTAAAATATGCAACAAAATATTCAAGTTCCATTCCAGGGATAAAAAAGTTAAGGGAAGTTATTGTGAATTTGCATTTGTTGTATTTATTAATTTTTTTGTTTTTTTTCCCCAGCACAACGAGTCTGTCTTCCATCTGGATGGATACACACTCTGCCTGAAGTGGATCAGAGGTGGATTTCCAAGGCCCTGTTCAGGTGGACAGCACAGGGCCATCCTGAGCTGATCTTTAGCAGGGTGGACAAACTTTGGTGGTATCCTCCACAGGTTCCACTGAAGACCAGTAATTGCCCTCCCTTAGAGAACTACTTTGGCCATCCCCTGCTGCTCTGGATGCCACGAAAACTGTGGCAAGTGAAGCTGACCTGTCCACATCCAGACTGTCAGAAAGACCTTCTGACCTCAGCTGGCTTGCATCAAAAGATCAGGCAGGTGTTTGCCTTGGGTAAGATATACTTTGTGGCATCTGAGTACCTGGCCTGCCGAAGATGTAAGAGGAAAGTCATCAGCTGGAGCCATGATATCGTCTCCCAGCTCGACATTGGCCACAGGGTGCAGTTCCCTTGCATTCTTACATCAAAACTTGCATGTGACGTCGAGGTAGTATGTTTGATGCGTCAGCGAGGGCTGGGAAACAGCAGCAGCCAGATCCAGCGCAAGCTGCAGGAACGTCATACTGAGGTGTGGTTGCAAAAGACAGTCCAGTATCTGACAGATTGCAAGGGGATTGCCAGTGCTGTCACTTCGAGCCTGATCCTGCCTGTGACATTTGAATCTGCTCCTTCAATGCCTTCTGTCCCTAAGCATCGGTGGCTGATGCAGGTGTACGCCCAGGATGTCCTGCAAAGGCTGGATGAGATCAAGGCCACTATCACATCGCAATATGGTCGGATCTTAAAAATGGATTCAACAAAAAAAGTGGCCAGAAAACTAGCTGGACGCAGCTATGGCACTGCTACCTGGGCAACCAATGTTGGTAATGAGCACGGACAGGTGATCATGTCCGTGCTCACAGCCAGTGAAGGTTTTGGTCTCGGGCCAATGATTGAAGGCCTCATTAAAAGATACAGAGTGGCTGGGGTGGCTCCTCCCGAGATACTGTATGTTGACCGAGACTGCTGTGGCAACACTCTTCTGAGAAGAATGTTTGAAGAGTGGGAGCAAATGATCATCCGTTTGGATGTATGGCACTTCATGCGGGGGTTTGCTGTGGGTTGCACCACTGACTCTCATCAGTTGTATGCCACATTTATGAGTCGCCTCAGCCACTGTATTTTCATGTGGGACCAGGTTGACCTGACGGCCCTGAAGAAGGCAAAGCATGCAGAGCTAGAAGCTAACTGGAAACCTACATCCGAGGCTGATGTGCTGCGCAGTATCAGCCGTAACGAGCTAGCCCTACATTGCAGGAGAACCACTCGCGGGACCAAGGACACCCTGGCGCTGATTGAGAGCCATATTCAGGCCTTTGATGGAGATGCTGGTCGTGACACTATGGGAGTCCCACTAATAAACTCAGCCCGGATGAGAGAGATATTGAAGTCCCAGCGGAAGCATGTGGCCTGCATCCAGGATCCTGTAGGTGTGCAGCTCTACATGCAGACGGGCACTGTAGTGAAGGGAGGGCACCGTCTGCCAACCTACCGCTGTGCCAGAGGTTCCACTTCGCTTGAGTCATTTCACCTGCACCTTAACAGATTCATCCCAGGTAAATAAGTGACTTAACTGAATTATTAAAATAAGATTTGATTTAATTATATATTAAAATAACTATGGGAACAGCTATTTGTGTATCCATATGACATTTTTGTGTGGTCTTATTTTTCTTTTTTGAATTTACAGGTACGCTGGCGAGTGACACCTTCTTCCAGGCGTATCTGTTGGATGGACTTGCAAGGTGGAATGAGGACCGGGCTGTGGCAGCAACAACTGATGAGCAGCAGCCCCATTCCTACAATCATCTTCTGCGTCATGCTGTCAATACTCTTGCAGAGGAGGTTATGGGCAAGAAAATCATCCCTTATGTTGGGCCAAGAAAGTACACTGGTAGATAACTATTTGTTATTTTTGTCACATTTTTTTTTAAGTGTACACATACCATTTAACCTCTGTATTATAATATAATATCCTGGTATATTATCTAATTTTCAATGTTTTAATATTTTAAAGGTGAGCTTATTGGAGTGGAATACCTTTACCAGCAAACTGGTAAAGTTCTGCAGGACTACAAGTTGGCCATTGAAGAGTCCGAGACCACTGAGGTTGGTATAGAAGTGGATGAAGGTTATGCTGAACTTGAGGAGTTTCAGGACATCACTGTCCCCACCTTTGACACAGAACGGACACCTGTTGCCTCTTCACAAGCATCAGTGTCTGCAGCATCATCTCCAACCCCTCCTGTCACCAGCTCCATTTCATCATTGTCTGTGGTTCCTCCATCACCAGTGACATCTCCTGTCACCAGCTCCATTTCATCATTGTCTGTGGTTCCTCCATCACCAGTGACATCTGTCACCTGCTCCATTTCATCATCGTCTGTGGTCCCTCCGTCTCCTGTCACCAGCCCACTGCACAGTCATTCAAAGCCAGGACTCTTTCCTGGAGCACATAGCTGTGAGTTTACCAAAGTATCTATATAGAGTTATTGTGACAACAATTATCACCACCTCTATGTATATATGTCTTATTGAAAGGCAAAAATACAAATTTAAACTGAATGTTAGCCTTTTTCATGTAGTTCCAGTGGACCAATTATCAGCTGAAACTGGTCTTCTGACATCTGAAGAGAACACTTCACATGATGTAAGGGCCCAGTGTACATTTACGTCTGTAAACAAAATCTTAGTTATGTTTGCTGTGCTTTCATGTAAATATTTGTATTCATTGCTGCTATCAAAAGTTCCTAAATTATCTTTTATTTTAGGATTCTGTTGGACCTGATAATATTGGGGGGTATGGAGCCGTGCAGGACTTGGCAGAGTTCTTGGTTAGCCTCAGAGACCACCGTCTGGCCTTGACTGGAGAAGAGTGCGTCAAGATCATCACCCTATGGCAGGCATTGGGGGAGTATGACAAGAGGAAAACCATTTACCCACGACGTCACCAAACCTCCCTAAAACAGGGACGATTCAGAGCCACTAAGAAGATTGTGGCACCAGGTGTGGAGAGCACCAAAAGGTATGTTAAATTTAGCAAACACAGGTTCTCGATTGTCTTAAATTTTGTATAAAACAAACCACAAAACATAACTATGCACAGATATTAAAAATTAACATCTGGACAACACAAAGCAAAACAGACAGATTAGAAAAGGGGGAAAAAAACAAGAAAAATAACAGAGTAACGATCACACATTGAAATGAATATGTATTCTGCTGTAATTTTCAGGTGTTTCGTTGGGGCTCATAGTCCTGCACAGTGGCCTAGCTGCAACCGAGTGGTGGAGGCCATCTTCACAAGGCTCTGTGCCCTCTATCCAAACGTGGTGCGGTGTGATGGAGTGAGGGTGTCCCGCTTCACAATGGTGGTGCGTGCCTACAAGCACATCCGAGAGTGCATCCTCAACAATGCTAAGGTGATGAGCGAGACCACCATCCAGCTCCCAGAAGTTAACACTGCTACAGTCACACAATGGTGAGTAAATTAGCATTGTTCCAGCTAAGCATAAATTGAAGTGCCACACAAAGCGTTAAAGTTTTTTATGTGGTTGTCTTACAGTTTTTTTTTCAATCGCCAACAAGCGCTTACCCATACTTCAGATACTTTTTCGAAACTCTTAACACAGACTCACACCAACAAAACACAATTGGCCAAATGGATGATTTTCTTCTCAAAAACACATTTTGTTAAATATATACTAACTTTCAAAATAGAACACATCTTTCTCTACACACTAAATTTCCCAAAACACTGGAAATCTGAAAATGAAATTATTCTGTCAAAGAATAACACTTGTTTTCACTTCACAAGGTACATGCAGTCAATCAAAGTACACCAGGTTTCAAAATAATGGCTATTGTTGACATTACAAAAACTACATAGACTTTTATGTGTCAGTTTTACAGGTATTTGCATGCAAAAAATGCAATCCCCCGTTTTTACACTAAATTTCTTGGTTGGGACTTTTATGTCCACATTTACCGTACTGTTCACATTCAAAATCATTCCAGTAAAAAGCAAATCAGTTTTTTTCACCTCTCTCTGCACCTTCACCTCTCACTGCATCTCTCACTGCATCACTCACTGCATCTCTCACTGCATCTCTCACTGCATCTCTCACTGCATCACTCACTGCATCACTCACTGCATCTCTCACTGCACCTCTCACTGCACCTCTCACTGCATCTCTCACTGCATCTCTCACTGCATCACTCACTGCATCTCTCACTGCATCTCTCACTGCACATCTCACTGCATCACTCACTGCATCACTCACTGCATCTCTCACTGCATCTCTCACTGCATCTCTCACTGCATCTCTCACTGCATCTCTCACTGCACCTCTCACTGCATCTCTCACTGCATCTCTCACTGCATCACTCACTGCATCTCTCACTGCATCTCACTGCATCTCTCACTGCACCTCTCACTGCACATCTCACTGCACCTCTCACTGCATCACTCACTGCACCTCTCACTGCATCACTCACTGCACCTCTCACTGCATCACTCACTGCACCTCTCACTGCATCACTCACTGCACCTCTCACTGCATCTCTCACTACACCTCTCACTGCATCTCTCACTGCATCACTCACTGCATCACTCACTGCATCTCTCACTGCATCACTCACTGCATCACTCACTGCATCTCTCACTGCATCACTCACTGCATCTCTCACTGCATCTCTCACTGCACCTCTCACTGCATCTCTCACTGCATCACTCACTGCACCTCTCACTGCATCTCTCACTGCATCTCTCACTGCATCTCTCACTGCATCACTCACTGCATCTCTCACTGCATCTCTCACTGCATCACTCACTGCATCTCTCACTGCACCTCTCACTGCATCTCTCACTGCATCTCTCACTGCATCTCTCACTGCATCACTCACTGCATCTCTCACTGCATCTCACTGCATCTCTCACTGCATCTCTCACTGCATCTCTCACTGCATCTCACTGCATCTCTCACTGCACCTCTCACTGCATCACTCACTGCATCTCTCACTGCATCTCTCACTGCATCTCTCACTACATGGGGTCAATTATTATTATTTTATTTTTTTATCAGCTGAGATATATTGTTTTTGAACTCATATCATTGCAGAAGCAGAGGTTTTTATAATATATCTAAGGTTTGGAATATTGTTTTTGCTATTGTGGGATGGTGTGTGTTACTGTAACATTTGTAAATACTACAAAAACAATCCATAATTTTGTTGGGAGGTATTGCTTGTCTGTTAAGAGAATGTAAGCATTGTGGAAATGTGTTCACTGACTGCATATTGTGTGAAAACGACATGACGTGTGAATGGTATGGCCACAAAAGATCGATGCTGTGCTAATTGTGTTTAGAGTTTTGAAAATGTGACAACTGTTTGGACAAATACTTGTTAGCGACTGAAAAAACTGTAATATAGCTATGGCTGCTTTGACTTGTTGGCTAGAAACAAATCAACAAGAGTCCAACTTCTGCTTTCTTCTCCATTATGAAAAATAAGATTTATTGCTCACGACATGGTCTTCAACAGACTGCAAGAATCAATAATCAGTACAACGTATCTCCATAAACAGCTTTCCAACACACATACAAACGAACAGCTACTACCGTACCAGCGGCATTTTACTAAAGCAATGATACACGAGACAAGGGTGAGATCAATTGCTCTGTGATCTCAGCTGTGTCTTGCTGTTGCATCATAGTCATGATCAAACAGTAGTTGAACACACCATCTTTTGTATTACTGCTTAAATGTTTATTCAAATTGGTTGCTTTATGTTTTCCCAGGTACAGCAGGCGTTGTAAGTCACAGGAACAGGAGATATTGAAACAGGGTATCCAAGCCCCTGAAGCACCCATGGCAGGACCTGAGAACCTTCCTGCTGCTATGCAGAAAGGACCGACTCTCTGTTCCAGCAATTTGTCAGAGCCACACCTTTTTATCCTGCCACCAAATACTGCTGGGGAGGCTAAACTCAAAGGGAGGTCGCAACCTCAGGCCATCTTCCAGGCTCCACCATCACATCAAGGACTTCCTGTCCCTATTGCACCAGCACCACCTGTCTCTCTCCCTTTCATTTTACCACCTGTGCAGCTTCCTACAGTTCCTGGTACCTCACAGGTGATGTTCTTCGACCTCCCATTACCTTCAGCTATGCCACCATCAGCTCAGACACAGACATCCAGTCAACCGGTTCCTTACTCCACTCAGCAATATAGAAAGAGAAAACAGAAGAGGGAGAGCGCTGGAACAGTGACAAGAAAGTATGTTAGGAAGACAGACGTCATTCTTTGCAGAAAGTGCAATAAGGAGAGAAAGCCACCAACACATCTGCAGTACTTTGGCAACTGGTACTGCGAAGAGTCTGAGACTAAATCATATGATGAATGGAGAGCTGTGCTGATGGAACGAGGTTATAGGAAAAAAAAGCCAGGAAATGACAACCCTCCAGCTTCTTAAAATTGCTCTTTCAGCATGTTATTTTTATTTATTTATTTGATTAATGTTTGATTATACAACATAACAACGACAGCTGTCTTTAAAATGTATAACAACTATGTGTGTGATGCCTTTTGAATAATTTTTAAACATGGTTGGTGTGTGTGTGTGTGTGTGTGTGTGTGTGTGTGTTGCGCGCATGCATCTGTGAGTAGGATGGGGATAATGGGTGTTGTGTTTGTACCTTTATTTGTGTTTTATTCATTTTACTTGTCTTACACTTTATTTGATTACATTTGTTTACAGTTTTTAGAATAGGAGTGAAAGACCGGTATACTGTATCAGGTAATTTAATTCTTATTGGAGTTAAGTAAAATACTTGGCCCAGGGAAAGAAACTACAGTATCCAGAGATTGGTGGTCCATTGTTTTAATTGTCCTGTTAGTAGCTGTCACAGGGCAACAGGTGGTTGCCTGGATGAGAACAGTTTATTTTAGTTATTTTGTTACGTTAACTTATGCCTTAAGTTATTTATGTACCTGATTATCATTAATATCATCATTATTACTATTATTATTAATAATAATATATATTTTTAATAATAATAATAATAATAGATGAGAAGCATTTGTTTAGTTTATTTATGTTTAGCTATGCCTTAAGTTATTTATGTACCGGAATGTGATTATATTAAAAAATTTTAATGGGTTTGGATGTTTCTGTGTTTTTTCTTATTCATCTACTTCCTCTTTTCATTATTATTATTGTTTACTGTATTATTGACTACAACAACTACACTAAAATTATATACACATTTTAATTTCTGGGCAACAGGTGGTTGCCTGGATGAGAAGAGTTTATTTTAGTTATTTTATTATGTTAACTTATGCCTTAAGTTATTTATGTACCTGATTATCATTAATATCATTATTACTATTATTATTATTAATAATAATAATAATAATAATAATAGATGAGAAGCATTTAAGTTATTTATGTACCTGATAATCATTACGTAATATCATTATTACTATTATTATTATTAATAATAATAATAATAGATGAGAAGCATTTAAGTTATTTATGTACCTGATTATCATTACGTAATATCATTATTACTATTATTATTATAATAATATATATTTTAAATAATAATAATAATAATAGATGAGAAGCATTTATTTATGTTTAGTTATGCCTTAAGTTATTTATTATTATTACTAATACTTTTATTAATATTACCAGTTTTAATAATTGTTGTGATTGTATTAAAAAAATATAATGTGTTTGGACGTTTTTGTGTTTTTCTTCTTCATCTTCTTCCTCTTATAATAATAATTATTATTGTTTACTGTATTATTATATACAAATGTTAATTTATACACATGACAGAATTATCTGGACTTAAATGTGTAGTTAAATAACATTTATCCTAATAATTAACATTAGTCATTAAAAGTTTGGACGAGCGGGATTCGATCCTGCGATCTTTGGGTCAATTTCAGGCAACTTTTGATAGCTTAGATAGACATATGCGCGCCGCGCTTGGCGCAATGGATAACGCGTCTGACTACGAATCAGAAGATTCCAGGTTCGACTCCTGGCTGGCTCGCTCTGCCTCTTTTGCTTCGCTGTCAGCCCATAGCCATTTTATTATTATTAGCCCATAGTTTTTGTTATTATTATTATTGGATTAGTTGAATAATGTTTTAAATTGACAGTCCAACAATAGGCTGCTTTGTCAGTGGGATAACGGTTACCATACAATACCATGCGTCTTTTCAGATGCATTGCATGGGTACTGTCACAAGGACCTTGCTTTAAGACAAGTTTATAGTGTCTATTATGCCAGCACAGGAATGGGAGGAAACTGAACCCCCTGGGCGAGGCAAATGCACTCAAGGGTGCCTGACTGGTGGGCCAGTGGCGCAATGGATAACGCGTCTGACTACGAATCAGAAGATTCCAGGCTCGACTCCTGGCTGGCTCGCTCTGCCTCTTTTGCTTCGCTGTCAGCCCATAGCCATTTTATTATTATTAGCCCATAGTTTTTGTTATTATTATTATTGGATTAGTTGAATAATATTTTAAATTGACAGTCCAACAATAGGCTGCTTTGTCAGTGGGATAACGGTTACCATACAATACCATGCATCTTTTCAGATGCATTGCATGGGTACTGTCACAAGGACCTTGCTTTGCGACCAGTTTATAGTGTCTATTATGCCAGCACAGGAATGGGAGGAAACTAAACCCCCTGGGCGAGGCAAATGAGAGCTCCCTCCGATGAGCCAGATGAAATTGAATTCAGTAAACTATCCCTTCAGATCATTCCCATATTCTTAAAGGGGGGCGGTCACACACTAAAAGCCAAGGGCCTACTTGAGGCTTGAGGAAGTTCCCATATGGTCTAGCGGTCAGGATTCCTGGTTTTCACCCAGGCGGCCCGGGTTCGACTCCCGGTATGGGAAGTTCGTGTTGTCTTTGCTTCACTTATGGAAACAGCCAGGACGTCTCTCTGTGCCACTAGCACTTTTAGCCGGCAGGCGGAGCTTACGAAACCTGATAGGTTTAGGTTCTGTCCCCAAACGATGTGCCTTCGATAGCTCAGCTGGTAGAGCGGAGGACTGTAGGTGGCAAATTGGCAATCCTTAGGTCGCTGGTTCGACTCTGGCTCGAAGGAGGTCTTTTTCACAAGCAAACATTTCATTGGCCATGCTTCTCGACGAGGCCGTCAGCGCTTGAGTTGGTAGTCCAGCGTTTTGCAATCGCGACCGCCGCTGGAGGGCAAAAGCTCATTCCCTGACCGGGAATCGAACCCGGGCCGCGGCGGTGAGAGCGCCGAATCCTAACCACTAGACCACCAGGGAAGGTCTGCTGACTCTTTCCCGTCAAGCCTGGCTGTGTGCCTCTACCAGATTTTGCAGCAACTGCTCAAGCAAGACCACTAAGGCTTGAATTTTCCTCCAGGAGAGGAGACGTCTCTGACCCTGGATCACAGTTATTCCACTGAGAAACTGTCACTGGCTCTGTAGGAATATCCTAACAACACCACAACTTGCCATGAAAACAAAGCAACCGAGATCACCAACATGTGACGCCTCCAACTTGAAGCTTTTTATAGCAGGCTCCTCATCAGACCCCTTCCTGACGTTGGCTCCAGGCCTGTTATTGGCATGAGAAAAAGTAGATGTCATGACAGGCCTCTGCCCAGCCGGACACCAACAAGTCGCGTGCATAGTTTGTGTTATTATTATTATTGGATTAGTTGAATAATATTTTAAATTGACAGTCCAACAATAGGCTGCTTTGTCAGTGGGATAACGGTTACCATACAATACCATGCGTCTTTTCAGATGCATTGCATGGGTACTGTCACAAGGACCTTGCTTTAAGACAAGTTTATAGTGTCTATTATGCCAGCACAGGAATGGGAGGAAACTGAACCCCCTGGGCGAGGCAAATGCACTCAAGACTGCCTGACTGGTGGGCCAGTGGCGCAATGGATAACGCGTCTGACTACGAATCAGAAGATTTCAGGTTCGACTCCTGGCTGGCTCGCTCTGCCTCTTTTGCTTCGCTGTCAGCCCATAGCCATTTTATTATTATTAGCCCATAGTTTTTGTTATTATTATCATTGGATTAGTTGAATAATGTTTTAAATTGACAGTCCAACAATAGGCTGCTTTGTCAGTGGGATAACGGTTACCATACAATACCATGCGTCTTTTCAGATGCATTGCATGGGTACTGTCACAAGGACCTTGCTTTAAGACAAGTTTATAGTGTCTATTATGCCAGCACAGGAATGGGAGGAAACTGAACCCCCTGGGCGAGGCAAATGCACTCAAGGGTGCCTGACTGGTGGGCCAGTGGCGCAATGGATAACGCGTCTGACTACGAATCAGAAGATTCCAGGTTCGACTCCTGGCTGGCTCGCTCTGCCTCTTTTGCTTCGCTGTCAGCCCATAGCCATTTTATTATTATTAGCCCATAGTTTTTGTTATTATTATTATTGGATTAGTTGAATAATGTTTTAAATTGACAGTCCAACAATAGGCTGCTTTGTCAGTGGGATAACGGTTACCATACAATACCATGCGTCTTTTCAGATGCATTGCATGGGTACTGTCACAAGGACCTTGCTTTAAGACAAGTTTATAGTGTCTATTATGCCAGCACAGGAATGGGAGGAAACTGAACCCCCTGGGCAAGGCAAATGCACTCAAGGGTGCCTGACTGGTGGGCCAGTGGCGCAATGGATAACGCGTCTGACTACGAATCAGAAGATTCCAGGTTCGACTCCTGGCTGGCTCGCTCTGCCTCTTTTGCTTCGCTGTCAGCCCATAGCCATTTTATTATTATTAGCCCATAGTTTTTGTTATTATTATTATTGGATTAGTTGAATAATGTTTTAAATTGACAGTCCAACAATAGGCTGCTTTGTCAGTGGGATAACGGTTACCATACAATACCATGCGTCTTTTCAGATGCATTGCATGGGTACTGTCACAAGGACCTTGCTTTAAGACAAGTTTATAGTGTCTATTATGCCAGCACAGGAATGGGAGGAAACTGAACCCCCTGGGCGAGGCAAATGCACTCAAGGGTGCCTGACTGGTGGGCCAGTGGCGCAATGGATAACGCGTCTGACTACGAATCAGAAGATTCCAGGCTCGACTCCTGGCTGGCTCGCTCTGCCGCTTTTGCTTCGCTGTCAGCCCATAGCCATTTTATTATTATTAGCCCATAGTTTTTGTTATTATTATTATTGGATTAGTTGAATAATATTTTAAATTGACAGTCCAACAATAGGCTGCTTTGTCAGTGGGATAACGGTTACCATACAATACCATGCATCTTTTCAGATGCATTGCATGGGTACTGTCACAAGGACCTTGCTTTGCGACCAGTTTATAGTGTCTATTATGCCAGCACAGGAATGGGAGGAAACTAAACCCCCTGGGCGAGGCAAATGAGAGCTCCCTCCGATGAGCCAGATGAAATTGAATTCAGTAAACTATCCCTTCAGATCATTCCCATATTCTTAAAGGGGGGCG